GGGATTTTGTGATGTCCTCTCATACTCCAACTATTGGGTAAAATGTACTTAAGCCTCCAATCTACAAATCTTGTATTTCACTAGTTTTAAAACTGAAACCGCAAACGGGGAGATAACTCCATGAATTCAAAGTTGAAATTTTTGTGAAAACAAATTTCACAACCCAATTGAGATTTTAAAAATTCCAATTCTTTGTTGCAATAACAATCTTTAATTGGCAAGAATATAATTTTGCGATTTGCATATCTTTAAAACACTTTCAGAAAAAAGATTTATCGTCATTAAAACAGATACGTGTATTTGGTAGTTACAGAAGGGCAATAAAATGTACATTAACTTGATATAAATATAAACAGAATATCCCAATACGTACATAGAATATGTAATGGTCTATTGTTTCACCCTGGCTCTCCCAAAACCCCAATATTCTTCTATCACATCAAATATTTTAAAAAATATATATATGAATATGCACAGATGAATCTTGTCAGTGTTCAATCTCCTTTCTAACCTTACTGTTATAAATGTTTCATTTTACTATGATGTAAGATGTGGGCACCGAAAAAGGGGTGGTGGTGGGAAAACAGGCATTCTAAAAAAGTACGATATATTTAAATTCTAATCGCTGCTCCCTTTATCTTCTTTCGTATTGGACAATCTTACTACCATTTTGAAAATCTACGAAACCTATATATTATGTCGCGCATTACGTTCACATGAATTAGTAAGTATGAATGTACAAACTATCCCGATAATTCAGTGAATTCCGTGAATTTGGAATGGAGCTTCTCGATCGTCAAATTGATCCCTGAAAATCACACCATAAAATACCTTCACAAGAAATATGTGCAGAAAAACGGACGCCGGTGATAACCATATACTTCCACAATTAACATGAATCCAAGAAACATCTCAGATTCTTGCTTGGCGTCGACAGAAAACTATTGGGGTCATGCTAGTGTAGATTTAGAGACTTGGTTTCTGTGACCAGATGATGAAATTTAAAGGTTACATTTGTTATAAGTAGTCATTGACATATAGAAGGCTAGCTAATCAAAGAGATCTACTAGTAAGTGCAGGGGGATTGCACCACACAAAATGTACACAAAAACAAATACACGGACAAGACATCATACTCAGAAAAAACACAGGCTAACAATTAAAAAAAAAGTGAATGGATCCGGGGGATAGCCGTAAGCGTCCATTGCGCTGTACAGTCCCGTGATTCCAAATTACCGTTCTTTGTGGTCAATTATGTGGGGTCTTTACATAAACTACTATGGTTTATTTCACTGCAACGTTTCAACAAGATTTTATAAGTCGTTATCAAGCTCATACACAAATAGCACGGACAGGAAAACCAATTACTGACTGAAAAAAACTTTACAATAGATGTTAACCATTAGGAATTCAAAGATTCTTGTCACCTTCTGCATACTTTTGTTTGGGACAGATAGGTTTTGCAGAACGTAAGTAGAGTTGTAGTATTTGTATTTTATCATATAGTGAAAAGGAGAACTACTCGATGTTATACAACAATAATCGTGCTTTATCTCGTGTAAGGATGGGATTTCAGTATATATTCTGTCGATGAATCACGTAAGTGATATCTGTACATTGTGGTCATAGTCTTAAAACGTCTAGCAGAACCAAGTAAGTTAAACGCTTAGTTCTACCAATGTTCTTTATATATACCAACCAGTTAAGATCTAGTGGTTCTTGTTGCAATAATACTGGTTTTTGTCATATTTTTTTTTAAAAATTGACTATAAAGTTGACCAATATCTAGGAATATTAGTGGTGAGTATTTTGAATCCGAGACTGTTTTTAAAATTATTTTTCCATTTAAGAATATTTCATTGAACATAAGCGAGAACACATTGATATGCATTGTACGATAGGGAATATAAATTATAAGAACGCGAATTGAAATTTCAATAGGTTTCCTCGATATGAACATTTTTTTTTTGTCAAGAATTGTATCCGATATCGTTCACACATAAAAATATGCTCATGAACCAATTTCAACCGTTAAATTTTTTTCCAGATAGAAAGCAAACGGGGCCATGGGTTATGGCTCAGCCGCAAATAGTGATGGCAAAGTCAAGCAGAGGTCACAGGGCGGAGCTGCGGGTGTAGACGTGTTTGTCATAAATGTTGACACCACAAAACAGAACCAAGTATCACCACACCATTTTGAAAAATGCAGGTAGGTAACAAATAAGATAAATGTTACTTCCAAAACTTACCCCAGAAAATAACATACAACCATATAACCCACATTATTACCAGGAAAATGCAAATTAGCGTCATGAAATGAAATGAGATCGGGTTGTAAAATCCAATTAGTGACTTGAAATGAAATGAAATCGGGTTTTGAAATACAATCAGTGACATGAAATGAAATTAGATTTTTAAACCATGTTAACAATGTTCTATGAGGGGAAATTTTGCTCTGACAATGGCACTACGGTCCAAGTTATCTTTCATGTCCTTACAATAGTATACACGGGATCCATTCTTTTCAACGGTACTTATTTCTGAAGAGTAACACAAGGACACAGAAAGACGAAAGAATCGACGTCTCTTATTAAAGTCTCTAGTTGTCATTTAAGGGATTTTTTTTTTAAAAATCCTTTGCAAACTATATATTGAAAGTTGAATCTCTGAAAGTAATATCAGTTCAGAAATGTTTAATGTCCGTTACAAAGATATGATTAGTGATAGTGGCATCTGAAATCTGAATCTTTACATGGGTATTTTTTTTAAAACCAATTTGGTTCGCCGAAAACAGTGAGCAGTACAAATTGAATTAATCTAAACCGGATGTTCGATTTGACATTTCACTAAGCGCTGACGTTCATCGGGATTTTCCAGCATGGTTCTCCTTGTTAGTGGTGCATGATGCGGGACCTGACAAGGATAGCTGTCTAGTCCTTCGGATGTTACAAAAAAACCGAGGTCCCGTGGCGTACATATTAAAGATCCCTTGACAGTTGGAATTCGATTGAAGAGAAGCCGTGGCGCCGCTGTCCGGGCAAAATTTCCCTCATAGTACACTGTATGGCGTATGCCCGTCTTCATTAGCCCAGTCGGAGCAGAACAGTAGGACGTTAAACCCCATTTCATTCATCAAGGCGCCTTGTTACAATTTGCGCTTGGGAGCATAGAGACGACACCAATGTGTACTGGCTTTAAAAACGTTCACCGTGTCTTAAATATTGGATATCAGGAGCCCATATTTTCACAGTCAGACAATATCATCACTATTGATTGAAATGGGCCAATAACTTCTATTTGTAATGTCGAAGAGGGGACTTGGGTGGCCGGGTGGTAAACGCGTGCGCGTTGGATCAAAAGGTTTGTCACTGAGTCAAGCGGCATGGTTTTGAATTCCGCTTGTACGTGGCAAGGCGTAGGGTCGCCTGTCCAACCTCGTGGATTTTCTCCGGGTCCTCCGGTTTCCTCTCACCACTGCTAAAGACCCCTACGCGGAAGCGAATAATTAAAATAAAATTGAACCTTATCTTAGTCCCGAAATGACCTAGTTTGTGTGTGTAATGTCGAAGGGGAGTCTGGATAATATTGTGTTAAAGCATTACGACCTTTAACAGATGTGTATATTTTACATTTATCAGTCAATATACCACCCTTTATTTTGAATAAATGACAGGCCGATGAATAAACTAATCATGCATTATATATCAAAATAAATATATAATTATTGAGGAAAATATCACTAGGTTCGTATGAAACTCATCCACTACAATATTGGCAGAACATTGATTTTAGCTTATCTTTTTTTATGATAATATTGTTATATCGATCGATTTCTCTGACCTCGATGAGAACTCAAGCGGAGAGAGATAAAACATTGTTTATTAGTTAGATATGTAAGATTTTTTAATTTTTTTATTATAATGGTCCTGCTTGTTCATAGTTTTGTTTTAGGATTATTATAAACACCATGCAATATTTAGATAAGCATACTAGCTAATCGATACAAACCCATCTGAATTTGATGAGAAATCTGATTGTATCATTCGTTAGCTGAATAAACAGATGATTGTTGTATTCATATATTATCTCCGTAGGCCGGGACATTTTGGGCAAAGCACAAGACTTTAAGAAAAAATGGTTACTTTGTAATGATTATACTTAAAATCAAAGCGTGCGGTGAAAAATAACAGATTTGGTATTAAAATTCAAGTAAATTAAAATATTTAAAAAGAAAAAAAAACAAAAACAAAAATTTTCTTAAAGGATGGCGAGTGTATATTTGAAGGTTAGTATTTAATATCAATTAGTAGTTAATTCAGTGTACCGTTACCCACCTAGTAGTTAATTCAGTATACCGTTACCTACCCAACTAGAAGTTAATTCAGTATACCGTTACCTTTTTAGTGTTGCTGATTAAAATTATGATAAAAATACAGATTTCAAGAATAACCTTTGTATTGAAAATAACCTTTCTCTTTACAGACCGCCGGGACATTCCAGTCCCACCCCTACCCCCTTCAGCAAAATCTGTAAAACTAAAAATAATTTTGTGGATACCCTTACCAAACCCAAATCATCTATAAAATATCATAAAACAATAAGTTATTTTAAAACTTAACCACTTGGGCGAGAAAGGGTACGGTCAAGGGCTCTACTAACGATATTAAATGATATTTTACTTATCTCCTGAAATCAACCCGACAAAGGATTCGATAGCCATTAACCAATCAATGTGATTAATTTTTTGTAGTAGATAAATAATAAATCGATTGTAGTTATCCCAAATGTTTACAAACATCATTAATGCGGAATATGGACTGAAAGAAATACAATAATACAGAATACAGCTAATGAAAAGACGTGGACGAGCGGTTCACAAACATCATTTATGGACTGAAAGAAATACAATAATACAGAATACAGCTAATGAAAAGACGTGGGCGAGCGGTAGTAATTTTTTTTTCTGTGTTAGAATCATGTATTGACATGATATAACCTGTAATACAAACTATTAGCCTCACACTTTACTGCACTGCCATTTGGGGCTTCGAGTTTTAGCATACACGGATACGGTTGACTTCGTTGCGCACTATACGTTTAGATGTAGATTATTAGCTGAACATATTTTGGTTAACGAAGGTAGGTCTTTTCAAAACATTATTTTTACAAACACAGCATTTAAATATTGTTTAAGTCTTAGTGATTTCCATGGATGTTCTAGTTCCTAACAGAATTTTATTTTAATAGTTGTGTTACTGAATGAACATAACTATGAATAATTACTAAATGTTTTAGTCGTATAAAGTTGCTTGTACGTTAAGGGCAAGGTATATGGACACCATGTTGTCACAATACTTAGCTTTCATGCCTATACGGTTGTATGTACATGTGCCTGGGATGACGACTTTGTAATAGAATATTTACCAAATAATGAACAAATTGCTAAATCAGGACTGCGCAGCTACAAACTTTCTAAATAAAAAAAACAGGAAAATTAAGCTGACTAAAATTTGCCCAGATAAACAAACTTTACCCACACTGAGCAGTTTGAGAGGAGAGTGGTTTATTAATCGGAGCGCCCAGTGTCTGGATAATGTATCTGATACACTATACCCTCCATATGCAATCAACACATTTTCTATATGTGAAGTTTAGTAATTTATTAGTAATAACAAGTTGTGTACTCAAACCTATTGTTTGGATTTGAATATTAAAGATACATTCCTTTAAAGTTAGACATATTTAAATAACCATTGTTTATTACTATAGCCGAATTTCTGTGGAAATTATATTAATTGCTGCAAAGAACAACCTACAAGTTATGAATAGGGAATCCTAATCCATTTCTTATTTAAAGATAGCCACGGAAAGCTGTTTTTTTGTTTAAAACACAGATAGTCATAGACAGCAGAATATTCAAATGAAAACTTGGCTGTTAATCAAATTCCTTCAAGACATCTGATCTCTATCGTGTTCACAAGCTTTTCGGGACACGAAATATTTCTCCGGAACAGAAAGTCCTCGAATGCTGAAAATCAACAAGGTCTATCCTCTTGTATCACAATGCTTCAGTTCAAATTTTAAAATCAATAGGGGTCATACTTTGGCTGAAAAACAAAAGGCACATTTGCGTGCTTTAAAAAAAACATTTTAAAGTTGAAATTCGACATAAGAGTCGGTCGTAGTGCCGCTGTCCGGGCAAAATTTTCCTCATAGCACACTATATGGTGTATGCCCATCTTCATTAGCCCTGTCGGTGCAGAAAACAGTAGGACGTTAAATCCCATTTATTTCATTTGTATCTATATATATATACCTATACCATAGCCCACCACATTCACCAGTAAGAAAAGTCGTTTGTCAAGGATGCGCTTGGCATTTAAAGAGTTCATTCTTATTTTATTTATCGCGATCACTTACTTTCTATAATTCAATTTTTCGTGGTCATAGTTTTCTGTAAAAATAAGTTTTCAGTTTACAGTAGATGACCTACTAAATATTATTTTTAAAACTGTCGAACGTGGGTTCATTGGTTGCTCTAGATTTTATAAACAGTGATAAAATTAATTCATAATTGAATGGCGACCCAGTTAGGTCTAAAACAAAGGTTGGGTTGCAAAGAATTTAATTTGGTGAAAGGCCAGCTGTTGATCTCTACTTTGTTTAAAATCAATGGCCAGTTTAAATTATAACTGACGTAATAGTTATTGGTTCGATAACAAAAAAGTCTCCTAGCTTTACACAAATTATCATTTGATTAACATTTACTTTTACAAGAATAATATGTCACCCATTCTAGTGTCTGTTTAATTCAACGCGTATCTTTTAGGATAAATAATTTGGTGAATAAAATAGGTTTTAAATACATTAGTGTTGGCAAGGATATATCTGCATGGCAAATGTAGGATACGTTTTTAAAACATGAAACTCGTGTGATTTATGTTGGTCATAATTTCAATATTTAATTTCATGTCATGTCTCGCTCGATGTAGAAGATATTTTTCTCTTCATTTACCGAGCTTAAGCTGTCACAATCTTTAGTTAATTAATTTTTTCGGAGGATCTGCAGCCTCGGGGAGAATTTGAAAGATACAATGTTATGGAATGAGAGTAAACAGGGTTTACTTGAAATATCCAGACACTGTAGGTAAGCAAATTCGTCATAGTTTGACGTTGGATTAAACCCACTTTGATTTACGACGAAGAACTAGATACCAGGGAGGCAAAAAAAAAACCAAATAAAAAAACCAAAAAAACCCCAGAAAACAAAAAAAACAACAAAGAACAACAACAATATTTATATCGACTAGAGTCGATTAGTAGCATACACGTTGCCCAATGGCTGAGCGATATGCTTATGAAGTAATGGCGATTAGAACCTGCCCATAGCGTTTAAAAACCTTGTTGAAACTACGTGATTTTTGCAGTTTGGAAGAGGGCGCAAAATCGCAAGTGGGTGCAACAACTCTAAACCCATGACGCACATCACGTCATTGCCTCTTTTTCGCTTAGCCTCAGTGCCTTACAAAATCATGGACACTCAGTGTGTCATTATATATATTTGTATGGTTGCCTTGTTTATAGCTTTATCAGATAGGTACATATGACAACAAGACGGGCCAGATATGTCTGTTCACGGTCAATGATCATCAATGACCCCCCAAAACCTCATCATGTATAGGTTTCGCCGTCTTATATTACTATAATAATAGTCTTTGTTAGCTATTGATTTAAAGTGATCATATACTGTCGTTGTTCTCGCTCAATTCATTAAAAACGCATGTTTCATAAATACTAACCCTATTGAAATTCTGGGGTTTTGGGTAATTATTCCCATTAAGCAGTGATCAATTTCTCCAATGAACTTTGTGTCTGTATGCAGTTCACAAACATTAAATTGGCATCATATCAGCCCAATGAGCGTGTTGAATCAATTACATCACTTCCGGTTTTTATAAAAAAAAAAATTCTCGCTTACGAAATCGTTTTTGCCTGTGTTACAGAGGGGATTATTTCTGAATATATATTTAAGATTTATGGAAACCTTTTTGAAAATCGTTGGCCTTCCCCTTTGAAAGGGCATTATTCTAGGCCAGCGTTTGTATTTTTTCAACAGTTAGGGTTATATTTGATATTGCAATAAAACACGTACTAGATTAAATTTGATGATGAATTCTTGAGACTGCTTATGGGTCTTTAAAATTTAAATTTAACAGGAATAATAAGTTTACGTTTGCGCTCAGAATATGTGGAATTTAGATTCAGTACATCTCTTGTGCATCAATGCAATATTCCAGCGTGTTTTAAGAAATAGTTTTATTCAACTAAGATTTTAATTTTACTGAATCTGATAACAATGGGATCTGCCATGGGGCCGTGGGTTGCGAGTTTATTCGCTAAATAATATTTTTTTATGTATTCTTATTTCATTCACACAAAAATTCATTGTTCGGATTATTGCTTGTTTAGATTTAAATGGGAGTTTAGGACAGGATCGACCTTGTTTGTCATCCGTCAATGTCTAGGACCCCCACACGGTAAATGGTATATCACACTTGTTTGGGTGGTGAGTGTGACTGTGATTTCTACCTTGGCCCTATTATGGACAATTTATGTTCAGAAATAGCTCTTTTGTTGGGTCCTTGTGTTTTCTAAGGGTATTATTATTTTCATATTATTTTGGAGTATAGCGTCTGCTACATGTATTAGATGACTATCTTTTGAATGTGTATATAATAAATACATAATACATATCACCGAGAAACTAATAGCGAAGTTTGAGAAAATTAAGAAATTCGCTTGGCCAAAACATAAACTGATTCAATCTTACAAGGTCAATGGTGTTACGTCTTTATAAGCACACGCATGACTTATGCAACTAATAAAACAAATTATCTCAATTCAATCTCCAAGAATTTTGGCTAATGTATCAGCTTTATGAGACCATCACATTTGAAAGGAGATGTCTCCGGGAGTATGCCTTTTTTTAATAACAAACGGGAGCAAAGAGAATACTTGTCACAACACGTTTAGTGCGAACTTGCTGGTGTATAGGACTGAGGGCCATATAACATACAACAGCCCTGTTTAGGGATTGTATTATATATTTTATTAATGTTAATAACTTGGAAATATAACAATCTGAAATTTAGCAATCTATCATGTGCTTATTGTTATCATTATTCTGAACCTGATACAATATTTCATTAAAATACGACTACAAATTTCATAGATCAATTCAGTGAATATAATTATTAATTTCGATAGCAGTCATCCATATTGCCATATGAAATATTGTTGCCAATTTTTCAAAGACCCCCCCCCCACACACACACACACACCCACACACACACACCAAACACACAAACTATAGACTGGTGCGATGACAATGTATGTTCAAACTGAATGTGTGAGTACAAACAACACATACAATTGTACGTAATATTTATGGGAGTTCATTACGCCAGGTCAAATATGCATTCATAATATATAATCACATATAACCAACTGTCAGACAACCACATACCGTGTTACTGATAAAAAATAGTATACTGGCTGTAAAGTTAAATAAGATAGTTTTCCAGTTGAAAAGTTTAATATTGATTAGTTTATTTTATAAGGTTTTCCTGATACAAATTACATATTAAAGGGACAATCCCCATTTTCACAAGTCTCAGAAATAAAAGTCTGTGTACATATTAAATTTAAACGCTAAAATATAGGGAAATGGTGTATTTACCTTGTCTGAGAATTTCACCTCAAAATATTGAGTCGTTTGGACGTGAACCTCAAAACCACTTAGCCGAACATGTAACCCTTTTAAAATTTCGGGTCTATTTTTTCGATGGGTGACCTGATAACCTATTGCCATTTCTTTCGAGGTCTTTTCTTTGCGTGATTCATATATACTGTACTGAATAACGAATGGTAAATTTCACCTACACGTTATTTTTATAAAACAAAAGTCTGGTTTTATAAGATACCGTATAATGCAGCTTGGGACATCAGTCTCCATTACAAGATGAAGACTGACAGGTATAAGCTGTTTGAAAATGCATCATGTATATTGAGTTAGTTGCTCGGCCCTAAGGTAGGGGTCTTAAGGACTTTTAACACAAAATTATGTTTTATTCTCCAAA